GCTCCCGAACTAAACTGAAAACTAAACTAGGTAGTTATGTATAGTCAACTACGGTATTACTTATAAGGAAGCCTTACAATTGCGGCTTCCTCGACTAGGTGGGTGGATCAAAAACTACTAAACCTAGTGAAATGTCCAAAAGAAGCCGTTAATCAGACTTCGAGTCCTTTTGGCTTAAAGTCACGAGGTAGACAAAAAGGAAGTCAAACCGTTTTCCTCCAACCCAACAGCCAACGAGGCTGGACAGATTTGGCTTCCAAAAGTTCAGACGAGACAGATTCATCCTGTTTTGGCCAAGCTATTTCAGCAGGCTTCTGATTGCAGTCATCCCTATTCGGGGCTATTGGAGACTTCGGCCACCCGGACAGAGCTTATCACAATTATTTAAACATAAGTTGCGGAGGATGTCCCAAGCCCAACTTTTTGCTGTATTCTGACGGTTCGCGGCTTTACAGAGCATGCAACCCTGCCGATGGTCCTTTCAAACAGAGACGTTGGGGCGGAAAACACGCGTTTACCTTGAACGTAAGAGGTGAGAAGGTCAAAAGGATACAAGGGTCGATTCACACTTCGTGTGTGTGTGTGTGTGTGTGTGTGTGTGTGTGTGTGTGTGTGTGTGTGTGTGTGTGTGGGGGTGTGTGTGTGTGTGTGTGTGTGTGTGTGTGTGTGTGTGTGTGTGTGTGTGTGTGTGGCTAGCGATAGGGGTCGAAGAGAGAAAGATGAGACAACTGCCCGGGACTTACCTTTGATTGAGCATTTACGTCCGCTCGGTACTGTTTCACCAAGAGGTCAAGACTGCGGAGATTACCGTTCTTGGCAGCGTAATGCAGTGCAGTCTGCAAAGGAAGGAGAAGTCGGTTAGTTAATCCTTACGCCGACTAGTATGAAGGATCATGACTTCACCTTCGCCATCACCAAACTTGAACAGAACTAACCAGAAAAAACACAGAGATAGAGAATGATGCAAATGAAGGACGCGACATAGGTTCCTGATTTATAGGCAACATCTACTTTTTAAATCCTCCAAACTCAGTATGATCGACGGCAATTTGACTGTCGGTTTCGACAATGTCCACTGCGTGCTCCACAGTAGGGAGGTGGTACATGGGCGGTAACCTGCACTACATCTATCTCACTCTATGTTCCAGTTCCCTCCAGCGACCAGCGTCAAGACAGAGGCAAG